AAAGATTTCTTAAGCCTAACTATATGATATATACTCTAACCCCCCTCCCTTCTTCTAAAACAGTTTCAACACATTGTCACTTGCTGAAGGATCTACCAGATATTATTATAATAAATAACAAAGAAGCGCTAAGGCCACAAGGACTATACAGATCTACCAATGTCTTTAATTTATTTGCATTTTATGTTTATACACATATTGTTTTTAGCTTAGAGCTAACCCCCCTAAATTATAAACCCTTCATAAGAATTTACTCAATGTGCCTCGCCATTTTTTTGTTTGGTTGTTTTCCCACCTCCAGTCGTTTATGATGAGTATTGGGTCCAACCAGCTGCGAAAAGAGGGAAAATTCCTCAGCAAAAGCCGATAATGATGGCAATGTATTGCTAATTATAACAGATTTTTCCGAGAGAAAAAAATTTGTATAAAATTGGGAGGGGTAAGAGAGGGAAGGAATATATGATACTGTAACTAATTATTTTTTTATTCCTGCAGATGTTGGGACTGTCATGTGCCGTGAACATGGAAAAAGAATTTTGTCCTTCTCACATCACGTTCTGTTAAAACTCTTCAACTTCAGCTTTGCTCTCATTTTAGGCAACCTGTCAAACCGAAGTTTTTTCCAACAGCTACCTGCTACCTAATTTCCATAACTTGAGGGCACTTTCCCTGGATCATCGGATGGCACTCTTGGACTTTGAGTTACTGGCACCAGTATGTCAAGCAGAGATCAATGTCACGAGATGCAAACCAGAATTTTTCCAGTTGCCAAAAAGAGATTGCTCGTGTGGCTCCCGGAACACGTTTTCTCTGTATGTGATGTAAACATATCAGAACTCAGTCTAAGAATTGTGTGCACTTGCTGCAAAGATGTTAGCATCATTCTCTTTCATACAGCTTGGTTAATATTTTATAATGTGGCAAAGATGTCAATTTTACTGTCAAAAAATTGAATATTGCTCTTAAGAATAACCAATGTCTCTTTTTATAATACATGCTACATCACTAGTGCTAATACTCATGTATATACACTGTGTTATGGTATACATCTTGAACCATGTGGTGTCTATGAACTAACCCTTCAAATATTTTTGTATAAAAAAATTTGTACATTATTCAACAAATTGACATTTTGCTCACATAATTTCTCATTCATACACAGTGACACATGGTACGTAGTATGGCAGGAAAGACTCGCATAAAATGCACATTGTATATACAGTTATTTTGGAATTTGTGGATCATTATTTATTTAAAAACTTTACAATAAGTTTCTAAAGTTGGTAAATCTTTATACAAGCTCAAGCTCTAAAATTATTATTATAATCATGGTAAGAATTAAAACTGTAGGTATAGAAGTGGTTCATACAATGCTTGGAGAATGGGAAACAATCACATCTAAGGGAGGATAGGTCCAGTTCCTTGGATCAAGATCCTTTTATCAGTTTAAAGGCACTTCCATGGAGGGCAATGAATTTGTAACCATAACAGCATTGATCTATTCCTTCACTGGTATGGGGGTTACTTAAAGCTGAGAAAAAGCAAGTCTTAGGAACAAACTAGTAGCTTTGAATCAAACCTGATGAACTTCCCTTTTCCAGGTGTTGTATGACCCCTCACTTCCACATCATTTTAATAATCTTCCAATGGCATCCTTGCAGCCCACCTATTAGAGGAAATATAGGCCCTAATAATGGCAATATTTACTGTATTAAGAGCTTGACTTTCTTGTGTCAGGAATTTGTAATTTAAAGCTACACATTTGAAAATAATTTTGATATAAATAGTTATTGGCAGGAGCCTGGTAGACCTACAAAACTTCATGGAATTTTTTTAACAAAAACTGGGAATGTACTCCTTATAAAAAGTAATTGTCATTACCTGACTATTCACAAATAATTGTCACTTAAGCTAGGAAGCTGATGATGTTTTGGTCCATCCTGGATGATAATAAATCACAACACAACTAAAGAAAAAGCAGAGCCAAGACAGGCTGGGAGGAGGGAATAAAAAAAAGTGGTAGGAGTAATAGTAGAAATGGTAGTAGTGGTGAAAGTAGAAAGTAGAAAGTAGCAAAGATCAGATCAACTTACAAAAAAAAAAAAAAAAAAAAAAAAAAAAAAAAAAAAAGCAGCTATTCTATTAACAGATCCTTTGCCAAAACTGTCTACCGTTCTTCTAGCCTTTACAGACAGTCTGTAGACTCAGCCCTTATACACAACATTCCTAATGATAACATAGGAGCTAAACTCAAGGGTCATACAATACTGCACACATTCCTAATATGACAGTTCTGGCTTTTTCTGTTGATGCCTGCCTCTTTAATATATTCTCAAATTCTCCAAGTCTTCAAAACACTCAGGACAGGACTTGACCTGGCCTGACCTTTACTGCTGCCTCTCCTTTCCTCTTTATCTGTCTTCTGCATTTCCTTATTTTTATTTTCTTTCACATGGGCCAGCTGGCCTATGGCAGGGCTACTTAAACTACATCACTACTACTGGCACTGCTTTTTCTTTTATTACTACCATTACCTGTCACTTTTCACTTCCTAATCTGTCTTTGATCTCTCTTTTTCTCAGTTGTGAAATGACAATGGTCAAGGCCAGAACAATGTCATGACTTTCCTCTCATGAGTGTGATTTATTTGTTACTTTTATTCTTAATTGACAATAATGGCCAAGATAGGAATGTAAAATTTTAAATTATATGGTAGTAAGCCATTAGATTATGACTTGTATATTTTTACAATTCTACATATCTTTTTGTCGTCATTGACAAAATAATGGTGCTAACAAATGTAGTAAGTTTGGCCATTCTTATAATGCAGTATTTAAAAATGTTAAAGCTGCAGCATAATACTAAGTGAACCACTGCATTACCTGAGGAGAATTTTTAAGTGTTATTGATAATGCATCTTTCCTTGTTTGAATGCACTGAAGTTTGTATTGCTCTGCATTATTAATGTAATAAAAATAACCTTGAGAAATACATATTTTTTTCAATAGCTGCTTTAAAAAATCACTTATTCTGCCAGAACAGCTATACGTAATTAAAAATTACTTCTGGGTTGTGTTAATCATACATGGAAGGCATATAGATTATACATGGTTGAAATACTTTTGGTAAAGATTCTACATTATTATTAGTCATTGAGAAATGCTTAAACCCAGAATGGTTATATAGCCAATAGGGAATGAATGGGGTAATCAGATTTGATCCAAAGAGGGCAGTTCCAATTTTATAGATCATAAAGACCTTCATAGGCATTAAGGCTTGTCCCCTTATTGGGTTCAAATAGTAATGATGCACAAATATTTATAAAAGGGGATTAGATGCAAGGAATTGGAACTGCCTGTTATGGGGGAGGCAGTTGGAGATATCATTCCTGAGGGTGATCTGTGTTTGGAATATATATATATTTTTTTTTTTATTATCACACTGGCTGATTCCCACCAAGGCAGGGTGGCCCAAAAAAGAAAAACTTTCACCATCATTCACTCCATCACTGTCTTGCCAGAAGGGTGCTTTACACTACAGTTTTTAAACTGCAACATTAACACCCCTCCTTCAGAGTATAGGCACTGTACTTCCCATCTCCAGGACTCAAGTCCGGCCTGCCGGTTTCCCTGAACCCCTTCATAAATGTTACTTTGCTCACACTCCAACAGCACGTCAAGTATTAAAAACCATTTGTCTCCATTCACTCCTATCAAACACGTTCACACATGCCTGCTGGAAGTCCAAGCCCCTCGCACACAAAACCTCCTTTACCCCCTCCCTCCAACCTTTTCTTGGCTGACCCCTACCCCGCCTTCCTTCCACTACAGACTGATACACTCTTGAAGTCACTCTGTTTCGCTCCATTCTCTCTACATGTCCGAACCACCTCAACAACCCTTCCTCAGCCCTCTGGACAACAGTTTTGGTAATCCCACACCTCCTAACTTCCAAACTACGAATTCTCTGCATTATATTCACACCACACATTGCCCTCAGACATGACATCTCCACTGCCTCCAGCCTTCTCCTCGCTGCAACATTCATCACCCATGCTTCACACCCAAATAAGAGTGTTGGTAAAACTATACTCTCATACATTCCCCTCTTGGCCTCCAAGGACAAAGTTCTTTGTCTCCACAGACTCCTAAGTGCACCAATCACCCTTTTCCCCTCATCAATTCTATGATTCACCTCATCTTTCATAGACCCATCCGCTGACACGTCCACTCCCAAATATCTGAATACATTCACCTCCTCCATACTCTCTCCCTCCAATCTGATATCCAATCTTTCATCACCTAATCTTTTTATCCTCATAACCTTACTCTTTCCTGTATTCACTTTTAATTTTCTTCTTTTGCACACCCTACCAAATTCATCCATCAATCTCTGCAACTTCTCTTCAGAATCTCCCAAGAGCACAGTGTCATCAGCAAAGAGCAAATGTGACAACTCCCACTTTATGTGTGATTCTTTATCTTTTAACTCCACACCTCTTGCCAAGACCCTCGCATTTACTTCTCTTACAACCCCATCTATAAATATATTAAACAACCACGGTGACATCACACATCCTTGTCTAAGGCCTACTTTTACTGGGAAATAATTTCCCTCTTTCCTACATACTCTAACTTGAGCCTCACTATCCTCGTAAAAACTCTTCACTGTTTTCAGTAACCTACCTCCTACACTATACACCTGCAACATCTGCCACATTGCCCCCTATCCACCCTGTCATACGCCTTTTCCAAATCCATAAATGCCACAAAGACCTCTTTAGCCTTATCTAAATACTGTTCACTTATATGTTTTCACTGTAAACACCTGGTCCACACACCCCCTACCTTTCCTAAAGCCTCCTTGTTCATTTGCTATCCTATCTCAGTCTTACTCTTAATTCTTTCAATAATAACTCTACCATACACTTTACCAGGTACTCAACAGACTTATCCCCCTATAATTTTTGCACTCTCTTTTGCCCCTTTGCCTTTATACAAAGTAACTATGCATGCTCTCTGCCAATCCCTAGGTACCTTACCCTCTTCCATACATTTATTAAATAATTGCACCAACCACTCCAAAACTATATCCCCACCTGCTTTTAACATTTCTATCTTTATCCCGTCAATCCCAGCTGCCTTACCCCTTTTCATTTTACCTACTGCCTCACGAACTTCCCCCACACTCACAACTGGCTCTTCCTCACTCCTACAAGATGTTATTCCTCCTTGCCCTATACACGAAATCACAGCTTTCCTATATATATTATGTAGAAAATTTGGCATGTACAAATACAAATATGGTGTGGAGTTTCCAAGGGTATAATTCAGAGGGCTTAGGCACTTGGGGAGGATAAAGCAGCATAGGATGACCAAGAGTGTGTAAGAATAAGGGATGGAAGAAAGCTGGGATCATCCCAGGAAGGGTTGGAGAGAAACAGGTTTTGATTGCTAGGGACTTGAGCATTCAACATGCTTGTGTGAGTGTATTAACTCAGAGTGGAGATAAGTGGTTTGTATGATTTGATATGCTCTCGGAGTGTGAGCAAGGTAACGTATATGAATTTAGGGGTAAAATGGTTAGCTGGACAAGAGTCATGGAGGTAAAGTACAGTACCTGCACTCTGAAGGAGGGGAGAGGATCTTGTTGTTCAGAGGGTCATTTGAATTGTGATGTCTGTGCACTACTGGCAAAAAAGCTATTGAATGAGTGATGTGTGTCCTCTTTTTGGGTCACCCTAACTTGGTGAGAGACAGCTGATCTATTAAAAGGGAAAATTATTATAATGTAATTATATATTGCATATATGTGCCAAGTCTGCAAAAGTCACTTAACCTATGTAGTGAGGGAGTTGACGGCAAGAATAAGAAGCATGAAGGGCATGCTGGTATGCTAGAGAGAGAAGCTGAAGTTGGCATAATAAGTAAAGTGTCATTTAAAAAATCATACATTTATGTGAAGCACTAAACTTGTACTTGCCTATATGTGGGTGCAAGGGTCAAATTACAGATCCTGATCTCTCCTCCACAACTTGCTGCTTGCCAGATTCACTCCCTCCTGGCCTCAAGGTCCCCTATCATACCTGCTCTTAACACTAATGTATGGAGTCTGCCTCCTCCACGTCTTCATCAAGATCATTCCGCTCTCAGACCACTCTGAGACTGAAGAAATACTTTTTGACATTCCTGTGGCCCCACTTTTGCAATTAACTTTCAGCTGTGTCCCGAGTATCTGTTTCTCACCTCTCAAAAAGCCTGTCACTGTCTAATATTTATTAAGCCCATGAGTATTTATGTTATCACATCTTCCCTAGTTCTCCTGTCCTCCAATGTCATTAGATTCCATTCTGTTAGCCTCTCCTTGTAGCTCATCTCCTGTAACTCTGCAACAAACCTCATTGCCTACTTCTGCACGTTCTCCAGTTTCTTAATGTACTTTTTCAGGTGTGGGTGCCATGTTGGTGATGCATACTCAAGATAGACCTGTGACTATGTTAAATAAAGGTCCTAGAGGTTATTCGGCTTTGAACCTCAAGCGATATACCAGGCAAAACAAATTACCTCTAGGTCTTTACTGAGTGAGGTCTGCAGCCTGTCCCCTTCAATAACGTGTCCAATCTTCTCGCTCCCTCCTCATTCTTCATAACTTTGAATTTGTTGTGGATGAATTCAAACCACTCTCCAACCAATCTTGCAGTCTGTCCAGATCCATTTAAAGCCTTTCACTTTCCTCATCTAATCTTATTCTCCTCATTAGCTTTACATCTGCAAACATGGATTCAATCCCATCTGGAATGTCATTCACATATACCAGAGACAGTATTGGTCCTAACACCAATCCCTGTGGACCCTTGCTAGATATTGTTCTCTATGCTAACGTCTCATTCCTGATGATCACTTTTTTGTTTCCTTTCTCCGAGGTTCTCTTTGAGCCACTGGAATACTGTACATTCCATTATTCTTCACTTACCCTAGCATTTTGTGGGAAAATATTATATATCTTGTTACAGCAAAATGCAATCTACCCGTCCTTCTCTCTCTCTCGTCTCACATCTCTTTCTTTGTAACAGAACTCGATAGGTTGTAATGACAAAATTTGTCAACTCTGAACCTGTGCTGGTTATTGTTGATGAAACCAATTTCTCTCCAACTAATCTGTAACTCTCCTGATAATGTTCATTACTGTTGCATGGTATGCATGTCAGAGAAACTGGTCTGTAGGTAAACACTTCCTGTCTGTCTTCTGCCTTAAATATAAGGACTACATTTGCTGTCTTCCAGATGTCTGGCAACTCTCCCATATCCACTGATTTACTACAGATCCTAACTAGTGGTACGGATAGCCCTTCTATTCCCTCTTGCAGAATCCAAAGTGATGCCTTGTTAGGTCTTATTGCCCTTGATGTATCCAGCTCCATTAGAAGTATCTTTACCTCTCCCCATTTTGAGTTTGTCGTTCAGTACCTGTCTTGCGTACATTGTTCCCCAAGCTTTTTGGCATTGTCCATATTCCCATTGAGAAGGATTCTTCAAATTCTGTTTGATCAACACTTCACAGACTTCCTTGTTTTTTTTTGTGAATTCTCTTCCTCCTTTATTCAGTCGAATTACTTGGTCTTTTACTATCATCTTTCTTTTTATGTGGCTGTGATGCAGGTTTGGTTGAAACTAGGGCGTTGTTGCTGTCATTTTCAAAATGTTACTCAGCCTCTCTCCTCACCCCTTGCATATTTGTTTCTGACTAATCTGCTCACTTCTCTTTTCTCATTTGTCCTTTGTTAATCTGTAGTGTTTCCATGGTCTTATGTTTCTCCTTTTTGCCTCTCTGCATCATTGGTTGCACCAACGGCTCTCTGTTGTTTCCACATCTTCTGAGTATGAAGTTCTCCTTGGCATATTCCAGCTTGGTCCTACAGCTTCTCATCTGCTGACTTTTCCCTCCAGTTCTCCATTCCACTGTACTGTATTCAAGAATTTTCTCTTCTTTCAAAATTTCCTTTTCTAAAGTCTATCATCTCACACCCTCCACCTGTCATTTTCCCCTCTATCTTTGAAATCACGAGTCTATGCTGAAGGTTGGGATTTTCAGTAGTTGGTCAGGCAGAGTAAGGGATAGGAGTTATGAAAAAAAAAAGTTCAGAAATTAATTCTACTTACTATACTCATGACGAGGATTCCAGAGCCATGAGATGAGGTACTCCAAGACTGTTAATACATTTTATACTTATGGTAATGTACAAGCACTTCCAGAAAGATAACTTGGGAGTAAGTAACTGTATATGTATTTTCTTCTCTTGGTCATCCTGAAATGGTGGGAAACATGTTGAAAAATGCCATAAATGGTGTTGCACTGAGCTACAGGATTAAAACAAAACACTTTTGGAATGTCTTCATTTGTACTTAAGTCCTACATCACCACAAAAATTAATGCTATTATGACAAAGTTACATACTTAAAAATAATGATTTGCTTCTGACATTTTTGGGAATGCCCATTTCTGCATAAACAAATTTAAGTATAGCATTAGTAATAATCTTTAACAAAATCAAATTCACTCATAAATGTACTGCATAATTATTGAAGATTCTTCCTGCCTTAAGATATTATGTAACATCATACTCGGAAGCAATCAGCCAGAGTGACAAAGAAACAGCAGGTGTTGAGGATGCTGTCATATCCTGCTTAACCCTTTGAGGGTTTCGGCCGTACTAGTATGGCTTACGACCCAGGGTTTTTGATGTACCAGTACGCCTAAATTCTAGCGCCCTCAAATCTAGTGGGAGAAAACTGGTAGGCATACATATGAAAGAATGGGCCTATGTGGTCAGTGTGTGCAGAATAAAAAAAATCCTGCAGCACACAGTGTATAATGAGGAAAAAAAAAACTTTGACCGTGTTTTTGGAATAAAACAGTGACTTTGCACTGTATTTTCATATGGTATTTATTGTTGTATTCTAGTTTTCTTGGTCTCATTTTATAGAATGGAAGACATATTACAGAAATTGAGATGATTTTGACTGGTTTTACAATGAAAAGTACCTTGAAATTGAGCTCAAACTAGCAGAAATGTTTGATTTTTACCAAAGTTCAAAAGTAAACAAATCATGCCAAGCGTCCAATACACGTCAACTGGTGAGTCTAATATTCTTTCGCAAGTGCGCCAATATTATTTATACCATTTTTTACACTAATGCAGTAGTCTGCATAACAGTAAATCTTCTATTTTTTGTGAGAATAAAAATTCAAAGTGGAAAGCAAAAGAATGTAAGGGGGCCCTTGGGACATGACTAATGAACAGAGGAAATGTCATTTTAGTGCCAGGAATGTCTTTCTTGTTTATTCTGGACCCTATTTGGAAATTGGCATCTTTTGAAATATGTGTGAAATTGGCAAAATTGCTAAATTCTGACCACTGTACTGGACAGTTGAAATTGGTAAATGGGTGGTTTCTTGCACTCATTCAATAGAAACAATGGAGTTCTAGCGAAATATTCATGTTTTTTGTCGACTAGTACAGTGGAATTGGCCGAAAACAGGGCTCAAAGTGGGCAAAATCGCCGATACGTGAACATCGCCGAGACCGCTAACTTCGCAAGAGCATAATTCCCTAAGTTTTCCATCAAATTTCATATTTTTGGTGATTATGATAGGGAAAAGATTTTCTATCTTCTCATAAGAATTTTTTTTTTTTTTTTTTGAAATTTGGCCGACCCTGAGAACGAGTCTCGGAGAGGGCCTGTCAACCCTCAAAGGATTAAGGAAAGTCTTCTAGGCCATGGGAAGCTCTGATGCAGCTGCGTAGCGCCCATACACATAGTGGAAGAGTTGACGCTCAATATCGGTCAAGAGACCTGATGCTCCAATCCTGCAAAATAGAAGATGCTTCAATACTGCAAACATTTTCAGATAAAGAACCTTTCAATGTTTTCAAGAATGAGAAAATAGTCAAAGAACAAACACATTTAAAGAGGTTAAGAAAGTTATTTTGCAACTTAGTCTACTCCCATCTTTCTGATGCAAATCACAGTAAAAACATTTAAAAAATCTCCAGAAATCATTCTTCATTTTATTATTTTTTCTATAATACATCGGCCATCTCCTACTGAGGCAAGGTGACTGAAAAAGAAGAAATGCTTTCAAAGTTTTTCTTTTTTACATTTTTTTTTTCAAGAAACCAGCCACATCCCACCAAGGTAGGGCAACCTAAAAAGAAAAAAAATGAAAGTTTCTAATTTTACATATAGTAATTTATACAGGTGAAGAGGTTACTAGCAATTTGCTCCTGGCATTTTGGTCACCTCTTATGACATGCATGACTTACAGAGGAAGGATTCTTCTCCACTTCCCCATGGAGATTATTATTATTATAATCATCCAGACCTGAGGTTACAAGGTGGTTTGGATTTTAGAAAGCATGGAGCAGAATAGGTCTAAGAGGGTATAATTATATCTGGGGTGGGAGAAAGGAGGAGCAGAGGTTGTCTCAGGAAGGGCTGAATGGAGGGGGTAAATATTGTGTGTTGGGGGCTTCAACATCTAGCAGGCCTGTGCGAGTGCTCTAGATAAGGTGTAAACAAGTAGTTTTTATTACTTAATGTACTGCTGGAGTGTGAGCAAGGTAACAATAATAATAATAATTTCGGATTTTTTTATTATTCTTGAGCACCTGTTATTTTTAAAAATTCACAAGCCACAAGTGCAACAACAAAACACCTGCTGTCCATGTTCACCTAACAGTAAAACAGGTACCTGGGTGTTATTTGACTGCTTTGGGTCACATGCTGGGGACAAAATTGACCTAATTTGCCAATAATGCTCTGCATAACAAGGGGCTTTCTTTATAATATTATGTCACTGATGTCAGCTATGCCTGTATACCTTGTACATGTACTGGTAGAAATAAAGATTATTATTATTAATCTCCTAATTGGCTACTTTTTTATTAATACATTTTATCTTGTGGATAATACAATAATGCAAATAAAATGCTTCACACTTCCTGATTTTCTTACCTGAACATGTGGTTGTTAACCCAGTCATTCCCAAGTTCCTCCTTGATGAAAAAACCCCCCAAAAGCACCCTTGGGCTGCCTACCCCCCAGGGGCTTAAATCCAACCTGCAATTATTAAAGAATAGGGGGGAAGTATTAATCCAAAAGGGGCATGCAGCAACTGCAAAAGGAGAGGAAACACGGGTATATCTAAAAAAATGGGCTATTCTAATTTTTTTGGGCCCAAATAAATATCACTGGCAATAAAAATGCCCTTGAAAAGGGAAATTAAAAAATAATTCAGAAAAAAACGCCCCAGAACAGAGACATAATATTTCAACATGAAAAAAACCCACAAGAAGCAGAGACCAAATCAAAATACAATGTAGAAATACAGTGGCCCCCAAACCAGCGAAAAAAAACCGTTCATGAGAGCTCACGTTAATCAAAAAATAACGTTTGTCAAGTTAATTTTCCCCCTAAGAAATAATGGAAATTTAAATTTAAACGTGCAAAACACCCCCCAAATATTGAAAAAAAACTTTTTCCACTGAAATTTAATTTAATACACAAAACGAAAAAGACAGCCAGTTTACATGACACTTCCCTTTTTGAAGATCTGGGATGATTGATGGGTGGGAGGAGGGGGGTGTTGATTTTCTTATGTTCAAAGGGGAATCCCTTCCATAGCACTTGAGGTAGCAAGTCTTTTTTTGGGGTTACTTCCCTTGTTCTTTAATCCCAACAAAGGACCACTTCAGAGTCACTGGACTTCTGTCGCACAACAATCTGTCCATAGATACCTGTACCTCTCGTTCCTTTATGACTTTCCCTAAAGTGGTTCACAACATTGTCAGTGTACAGGTTGCCAACATGGCTTGCAGTAGCTGTGTCAGGTGATTTTCAAAAAAAAGGGTTTTGCACTTCAAGCCAATTTGCACACATTTCCTTAATCTAGAAGTAACAACTCTTCAATTTCTCTCTCCCCTCCTCCGAAGCAGTTTCCTCAGGTCTAACCCTCTTGCTGTTAAAAGATGATCTAGTAGCTCATCAGGGGTTAGTTCATCATTGTCCTCCTCCACCAGCTCTTCCACATCCTCCCCACTAACCTCCAAACCCAAGGACTTCCCCAATGCCACAATGGAATTCCTCAATTGGCATAGGATTCTCAGGTTAGCCTCAAACCCTTCAAAATCCCTTTTGTCTACACATTCTGGCCACAGTTTTTTCCAAACAGAGTTCAAGGTCCTCTTAGTCACTTCCTCCCCAAACCTTTCCTATAAAGTTTACACAATTGAGGATGGTAAAATGATCTTTTTTCCCAAAAATCTCTTAGAGTCAGTTGAGTTTCTGAGGGCACTACAAAGCACCTTTCAAAAATAGCTTTTGTTGCAGTTTCTTGAAGTTGGAAATGACCTGCTGGTCCATGGGCTGCAGGAGAGGAGTGGTATTAGGAAGCTCATGTCCCTAGAAAGTTGCTCTGCCAAGTCTGAAGGATGACCAGGAGCATTTGTCCCAATACCAGGAGGCACTTTAAAGGGCTAATTTTTTTCAATTAGGCAATTTTTCACATTGGGGGCAAATGCATGGTGTAACCAGTCATAGGGAAAAAATCCCTAGTGACCCATGCCTTACTGTTTGCCCTCCACAGCACACACAAATTAGCCTTGACGACATTGTTTTTCCTGAACACTCTGGGGGTTTCAGAGTGATAAAACCAATAAAGGCTTCATTTGCAAACACCACTAGCATTGGCACACATCAACAGAGTAAAACCTGTCTTTCATAGGCTTTTGTCCTGGGAGTGCCTTTTCCTCCTGAGTAATGTAGGTCCTGCTTGGCATTTTCTTCCAAAACAGGGCCCGTTTCATCACAATTAAACACTTGTTCAGGTTTCAGTCCTTCACTGTCTATGTACTCCTTGAATATTGCACATATTTTTCAGCCGCTTTGGGTCCGAAATGGCAGCCTCACCCTGCCTTATCACACTAATGAATGCCACTACGCTCTAAATCTCTCAAACCAACCTTTGCTGGCCTTAAAATTTTCACCATCACTAGTTGCGGGCATTTTTTTTAATAAAATCGTCATGCAACTTTCCTAGCCTTTTCACATATGATCGCTTGAAGATGCTATCTCCTGCTATCTGTTTCTCGTTTATCCCACCAATAAGAGTCTCTCAACATCAGCACTTGCGCTCTCAGTTTCGAAAACATAGTTGCCCCCTTTGGCAAGAGCACTTCCTTGATTGCCGTTTTCTTGCCCACAATAGTAGCGATGGTTGATTGGGGTTTATTATACAACCTGACCAGCTCAAGAGACACCACTCCACTTTCATACTTAGCATGATCTCTTTCTTCATCTCCACAGTAATTCTCACCCTTTTTGCTGTAGGGTTGGCACTAGAAGCTTTCTTGGGCCCATGGTAACTTATTTTGCAGGTGCAATCACTACAAAGGCTGTGATAATATGAAATGTTTTCCCGTTGTATGTTTGGAAGCACCACGTGGCTGGCTTGTAAACACTGGCACCCACGTGACAAGTGGGGGCGCGCTCAGGCCAAAGTGGACGCGTCTCGTACAGAATGAATAGCGCTGGTCGGGTTTTTAAGCGCTAGTCGAGGCAAAAAATTTTTGCGTTAAAATGTATCGCTAGTCGATTTACTTTAATCGATGCCATCGCTGGTTGAGGGTCCACTGTAGTTGTGGAAACATAAACACATATGCAGTCACAAACAGATCTGTTGTGACTTGAAAATGCCCACTGTTTTGGCCGAAACGTGTTAATAAAGGATCACATTAAACTGCATATGTTTTATGTTTCATTGTGTCGGTATTTTAAATTTATTTTCAGAAAAGTTTAAAGCCCAAACATGAACATCACATTGCAAACATAAGATTATATCAATTATACCCAATATTTTTTTTAACTTTTCAATTGCATTTCCAAAGGGAATAGTTTAACAATTTCAAAATAAATAGCAACACGTCAGAGCCTCACCTTTGCCCATACCCTGGTAAAATCTCGATTTGCTCTGCACATAATAACTCCCCACAGAGGTGGCATTTTTCTTCCTTCCTAATTTTTAAAAATTGCTACTTCAAAGGGGAAAAAAGTTTT